TCCTGGAGGTTGAGGAGGTTGTGTTTGATTACCAACCAGCATTCCTCGACGTCTGTAGTGTTTCGCTCGGGAATCCACTGCGTTCGTGCAGTGTATTCCCGAAGCTTACTGATGTTTATTCCACCAAAATCCCTGTACATTCGTAATCTACGTACTGGTAGTTTCATCCGGATATCGACCCCGATGAGGAGGTGATCACTTTTCCCTATTGGTGGATATCCAATGACACCGATTATATCTTGTTCCCTTTTGGAAAATACAAGATCCAGTAGGGATGGTTCCTGCTGGGCTCTAAACCGCGTGCAGAATGAGACGTGCTGAAAAAGTGCCCTGGTAGTAGTAGACGAGAAATGCCGATAATTGGACATCCAACTTGTTCGAGTACAGCACCAATGCCCACGTCTGATGCGTGGGTGATCAGAATTGGACGTTTCGTCGGAGAGAACAAGGTGAGTACCGGTCAGTTTGTTATCATCTGTATGGTTTCACGCAGAATTCGTTCACACTCGGCCGTCCATTTCCAGTCTGCACTTGACTGGGCAGCAAACAGCGGTTGAACTTTTGTGGCGAAGTTCGGAATGAAACGCGAATAGTATTGGAGGCATGCCATGATGGATTTGAGTTGGTTTTGGTCCCTTGGTGACTCCAATTCAGTCAGTGGACGAAAGCGACCTGGATCAGGGCGATAGACTTTTTCATCAACTGTGAAGCCCAGGAACTCCAATTATGGGAAACTGAACATGCACTTGGAGGCGCAAATTGACACGTTCTTTTGAGCGAACCGCTCCAGTAGTTTGGGAAGTCTATTGTCATTCTCGGCCTTCGTTGTGCCAAATACAATGACATCGTCCTGGTACGCTAACACGCCATCGAGTTCACGGATGATATCGTCAATTGCAGCCTGGAATATGCCGGAGGATGTGTGGAGACCAAACGGTAGGAAGTAGTATTGGTACAGTCTCCATGTTGTGTTGATAGTAGTGAAATGCCGGCAGGTTGGTGCGAGTGGAATCCGGAGGTGTGCATCGGCCAAGTCAATCTTCGAGAACATGTACTGCCGTGCAATGCTTTAATGAAAGCGGCAATTGGAGCGTACGTGGTGAGCTCCACAACACAAACATTATTGATTCGTTTTTCATTACTTGGGGAATCTTTCTGCGGCTTTGGTGCACGTTTGGCCGTTGGAGGTCGATTCGGTGGAGTCTTCTGCTGTTGCAATAATGTGGCTGCTTCGCTGGAAGTGGCCTTCATCAAGTCATCATGCTGTTCACAAATTTTCCGGGCTGCGGCAAAAGTTAAATCCTTCTTCTCCAGTAACTTGCGTTGCAGACTGAGATTGTTGATGCCCGCTACCAAACGGTCACACATCTGTTCTTCCAAACGATCGCCGTTGTTGCAGCGTGATGCTTGTCTGTTTAGCTGCAGGATGAAATCACGGCAAGACATGTGGTCAGCACTGATCATGGAATTTAATTTAGCACGTTCGTGGGCTTGGAATTCAGTAGGCAGCAGGTGGTTGAGCAGGAGCGATTTCAAGGACTCGTATGGTAGTTTGGCAGGAACCTCGGGAAATGCCAGGTTTTTCAGCAGCGAATAAAGATCACGGCCGCCAGTAGTGAGAAATAGGGCGGAGTGGTTTTGCACTCCACCTTTTCGAATACTGCATCACAGCTAAAATCGCTCTACCCATTCCTCGATCTCGGATGGACTGTCTTGCAGGTTCAATTGTTCAATACTTGGAAGCTCCATTGCGCGACGCCAATTTGTAATAGTATTAGAAGTAGTAGTGGTAATACGCACGGAATTCGGAACACCAACCACGCAGTAGGAATCACGGAGCACGAATTAGAAAACCGATGGCACTGGACCGCAATGGCTCGAATTCGCAATAACCCGCAGGATCGAGAAGCGAGGAAAAGGGCCACAAGACAGACAAATCACAATGTCGCTTATTGAAGGAAATGAAAGTGAATATATATGTACACAAGAAAAGATCATTGGCTACCTTAGTTTCCACCAATCATATTGCATCACATCTTGCGTCATACTGCTCTTCTCTGCATTGTATCTGATTGGCTGGAACGGTGCACCAATGACGTGTATATGATTATATATTTATGATTTTATTATTATATTATAATATAATAATAATAGTATATAATAATAGTATATATAATAATAATAATATTATAATAATTATAATATTATTATTTTGTTCGGCCCGGGTGTGACGCCCTTGGCACAACGTTTTTCACTAACAGGGTAATTCCATTGTGGGACCGGTTACTGCTGACGGTGGTAGTCTGCAGTACTGTAGATGGTTTGAAAGTTACACTGAATAATTGTTGGATAGCGGTTTTTCCCGAGATTAGCGTCTAGTTACTACCTATAACATTACCTCAACGGTTCAAATGAAGGGGTGGAATCAAGCAATGAAGTGTTATCTCGTGATTGTAAGGTTAACCCTCTCCCTAAAGCGAACGAAGAGGGCAGGGCAGGAAAAGACACAAGACTTGCGTCAGAGCCAGATGGAGTCCAGTTTCTTGCACCACGTGAGCTCAAGTTGGGCAACACTGTGCTCCGACAGTATTTGCTTTCCAAATGTTTCCAATGTTAGACCTGCAATAGGATTACAATGCTGACGGGTCCATGGGTAACCAAACAATATTAGGGATAGTTTCAGGGACAATGCGACGGCTTACATCCCTCCCGCTCAGGTGATCCATAAAAGAAAAGGACTGTGAGAATGGAAGGTTACTTGTCCTAAGAATTTGGGATGTAGATAAGGAATGGACACCTTGGAAATGAAATTAAATGAGGAGTAAAGATAAGTTGCAAGGAAGCTGAATGCATGGCTGCTAGCGTGACCCATTTGATGGTGTTTCTAGGGACATTCAGGAAACAGCGTGTCCCAAGATGCATCAAGCATCCTCTTCGGGGCGTGCACGCGGCTACAGTCGACTATCTCATTTGTCAGCTTGTTCTTGCTGTTGATCATATGCAGCGAGAAGAACCTGGCCCTGATCGTTCTGTATACCCTTATTTTTTTCAGTTTGAGGCTGTGACCACGCCTTGTCTGGTCCTCGCCTAGCTCAAAGAGATGTCTCGTACCTTGCGAATAACCCCTGAGGATTCTGAAGTTTTCACTTAGATCACCTCTAAGCCTACGACGCTCCAGGGAGAACAGACCCAGTGCTCGTAGCCTTTCAGCGTATGTTAGTCTCCTTAGGAGAGGGAACATCCGTGTAAAACGGCGTTGCATCATTTTCAGGACCAGTCTGTCCCCGACTAACACTGGTGCCCACGCTTGGACACAGTACTCTAAGTGCGGCTGAACAAAAGCTTGGTACAAAGGGACGATGACCTCGAAGTCTCTAGAGGATACCGTTCTGCGCAGCCTGTACAGTGCTGCATTCGCTCTGCGGGTAGCTAGGGAGCACTGGCGTGAGAATGAGAAAGTGGAATTTACGGTGATCCCACGATCCCTCACCTCGGCGCTTAGCCTGATTGCTTTGCTCTTAGATTCCCCCAGGTACCGAGGATTACCCACCGGCTTTCCCGTGCGCAGGAGCTTGAACTTGCCACTGTTCAGAGGCAGGCTCAATTCTGTGGTCCATGCTCGTACTCTGTTCAGGTCTCTTTGCATCTCTTCGTTGTCAAGAGAAGCTAAAATTTTAGCATCATCGGCAAATAGGAAGAGTGGGTTTGCCACACACCGTGCCAAGTCGTTGATAAGGACCAAGAACAACAACGGTCCAAGGTCTGAGCCTTGAGGCACTCCGCTGTGCACTTGGCCTCCCTCAGAAAGTTTGCCGTTTACCCGGAATTGGAAGGTGCAACCTAATAAATACCTCCGAGGCCAATTTCGGAGTTCGAGGTGCACTCCTAACTGTGACAATTTCATCAAGAGTAGTCCGTGACTGACTGAGTCGAACGCCTTCCTAAAATCTAGGTAGCACGCTTCGACATGTTCACCCCTGTCAAGTCTGTCCGTCACTGCATCCAGGTAGGCTAACAGATTTGTTAAGCAGGACCTACCCCGTCTGAACTTCCGTCAGTAAGTTGTTCGTTGTAAAATGACTGGTCATTTTGTCACTTATCACCATCTCCATAACCTTTAGTACTGCTGGAAGCAACCTCACTGGCCTATAGTTTGACGCGGCATCTCTGCCTCCCCCTTATAGATTGGGGTGAATATGGCCGCTTTCCAGTCGCTTGGAAGGGTTGCTGTCTCGAGTGACTTGGTAAATAGGCTGGCTAATGGACGTGCTAAGATATTCTTCAAATGGTTTTAGGATCGCCTGTTGTATTTCGTCTGGGCCTGCATATTTGTTTTTGTCTAACGCTTCGATATTTTTTCCACTTCCTGTGGATCGATTACGAGTTTATCCATAGGGCACTCCGTCGTGATACTGCGAGCCGGCAGGGTATTGCCCAGGTCCACAGTGTACGACTCTTCATAATGTTGTTGTATAGAGGAGGCCTTTTCTAAACTAGTGAGCGCTGGGTTGCCACCGGTGTCTTGGATACCTCCGGTAGCTTCCCTAGTGGCTGCCTTCGACTGTACATAACCGTAATATGCTTTCGGGCACATTTTCTCTTTTGTGCCAGAGTGAGCTCATAGAGTTTCTTTGAATCTGACTGGGCCCTATCATAGGTCTTGCACTCCTTCAAGTACTGAAGGTATCTCGAGTGTCCGTTTGCGGCGGTTAACCTCTTCCAGGCTGCCCGCTTAGTAATTGAGCTAACCGTCGAGATCACCGCCGTGGCTTATTGGGTCTACCATGCGAACGCAATGGTGCAAAGGTGTCGACCAACGAGATGAGGTTCGTTCTAATCCGGTCCCAAGCCTCATGGATATATATCACATCCTCTGGCCATTGGAGCTGTGACGCGGCCAAGAGGAGACCCTCAGTGTCTAATGCTCTGTAGCAGCGCCTGGGTTCTAGCCTCAGAGTGCCTAGACGACGGACATAACTGAAGCGAATAGTTGCGTGATCACTCCTGCCTAGCGGTGACCCTAGTTCTAAGTTCATGACTTCACTTACGCTCTTGGTGAATACTAGGTCCAGGATACTGGGTGGGTTACCTGATTTCCATCTTGTTGGGTGTTTGGTGTGCTGAATCAGGGCTGAGTTGAGCAGTAAGTCAAGCAATTTCTCTCCGAAACTGCCGCGTGGTGTGTTTTCCATCAGCCAGTCGACCTCAGGAACATTAAGGTCACCCAAAAGCAGAACCCTCCCGGCTTGACCCGTTACTTGGCTTAGGTAGGCGATCAACTGATCATCCTTCTCTGT